GCAGGTGAGAGCGAAGGATACTCACAGGCGGGAGCTGCCCCACTCACACAGATCCCTGACCTCATTTGTTTTTTTCCTAATAAGGATATGCACACACCTCCCAGGACTGTCATTGCTATGACAACGGCAGAAGTTGAGGTTGAACAGGTTAGTGGAACAGCATGCTTTCTAAATTCTCCAACAAGGCCTGAGGCTGCACTCACTCATGAAATGGAAAAATTCATGTTGACAGTGCTCCTAAATAGATTCCGAAAAACTTAAGGATCATGCTTTCTTTCTGGGGAAGGACCAGAGATGGAGTCTCCATGGAGTCTTTCTATGGGGAGTTGGTTTTGTCAGAGAGGTAAGAATCCTTGAGACAATTAAGATTATAAATCCCCATATAAAACTAGGGCACATAAACTGTGTCCATTTTCCACAGAGTAAAGAGATGTGGCAAATCAGGGCAAAAGCAATCCCCTAAGGAAACAAAGAGACAGGCACTTAAAAAAATCTTCTCTATAGCAGATTCTTCCCACAGAGAATACTCAGAACAACCTGGGTCTAAATTTTGAAGCTGAAGGATAGACTCATACCTTGAAAAATCATTTAAAAATAGCTACTGTTTACTAAACCCTTATTGTTCTTCAGATTCTGCAATGTATGTGCATTATCTCATCTCATTTTTGCAAGAACCCTACAAGGTACACACCACTATTATCCCCATTTTATAGAGAAAGAAACTGAGAATCAGGAAAGTTAAGTAATGTTCCCAGGAACATACAATTACTGAGTGGCAGAGGTAGAATTCAGAAAGGGTCACTGACTCCCAAGCTTGAGCTCTTAACAATTATCTCTCGGGCATGGGAAAAGGCCCCCTTCTTCTCACAAGAACCATAAACAGATGGCTTCTGTGCATGGATTCTCAGCCTGTAATGATATAAGACAACCTCAGGAATATTGACCTTAGAGCAGTTCTTAAACTTTAGAGTAGATTGGTATCACATGGAAGGCTTTTTAAAACATAGACTGCTGGGTCCTATTCCTGAGAATGCCTTTCTTTCTTTTTTTCTTTTTCTTTTTTTTTTTTTTTTTGAGATAGAGTCTCACTCTGTCACCCAGGCTGGAATGCAGTGGTGCGATCTCAGCTCACTGCAACCTCCACCTCCAGGTTTCAAGCAATTCTCCTGCCTCAGCCTCCCGAGTAGCTGGGATTACAAGCGCCCGCCACCATGCCCAGCTGATTTTTGTAATTTTAGTAGAGATGGGGTTTCGCCATGTTGGCCAGGCTGGTCTTGAACTCCTGACCTCAAGTGATCTGCCCGCCTTAGCCTCCCAAAGTGCTGGGATTACAGGCACGAGCCACCACACCCAGCCTCCATCCTGAGAATTTCTGATTCATTAGTCTAGGATAGAGCCTAAGAATCTGCATTTCTAACAAGTTTCTGGGTATTGTTGGTGTTGCTGCTCCTTTGAGAACCATTGTCTAAACCAAGGTTCTCCAACTAAGCCTCATTGCCTTAGTGGTTTCCCCTACCTAACTAATCTTTCGCTGTTTAGTCCCAGATCCCCTGGGGTCTTGAGAAACTATAATGTTATCTTCTGCAGTGCTGTGTGTTTTGAAATTTTCTGAACTTTTCTGAAGATAGTTCAGAAAATTTCAAAACTTTTCAAAATTTTGAAAATTTCAAAATTTCCCACTCTAAAACTAATGTACTGTTGCCTTAGGTAAGGCCTGAGATCCCCTGAAATGTAGAAAAAGGAGCTGGAAGAACCAATGACAGATAACAAAGCAGCCTGGCCTACTGAAGCCAGACCAGTTCCCTCACAGACAGAGGCAGTCCTTTTATAACCTCTGGGATTGCCTCTAGGAACTGATCACAAGAGGGCATTCATTAAAACCACTTCAGGGCATTCGTATTCCTGAAGTTAAAAAGAGCTGTAACATGAGCGACTGGCCCTTTAATGTCCCTCCCAACCCCCAAACACATTCTTCCATCTGAAGAAGAGGCTGCAACCGTATTCCCTGCATTCCCAATTTAGCTAATTTTCTCTCTCTGCTCAGTCTCAAGGGAAGCTGAAAGGAAATAAGAAAGCCTGTGGTCCGGGTCTGCTCACACAAAGGGGAGGCTAGAGAAAGGGGCCAGTAATCAGGATTAACCAATTTAATGCCTGATTTGTTTATCCCGCAGAAAACATCACTTGGTGATGCCCTTGTTGATCCCTTCAGAGTGTGGCATCTTTATCTTAGGCTTTTGCAGACTGTGAAAATAAATGAACAGTTTCTCAACAAAGCAAAAGAATTCATCAGTGAGGCCGGGCACAGGGGCTCACGCCTGTAATCCCAGCACTTTGGGAGGCCAAGGTGAGTGGATCACGAGGTCGGGAGATTGAGACTATCCTGGCTAACACGGTGAAACCCATCTCTACTAAAAACACAAAAAATTAGCCAGGTTTGGTGGCACACGCCTGTAGTCCCAGCTACTCAGGAGGCTGAGGCAGGAGAATCCCTCAAAACCAGGAGGCGGTGGTTGCTGTGAGCCAGTATCGTGCCACTGCACTCCAGCCTGGGGGACAGAGTGAGACTGTCTCAAAAAAAAAAAAAAAAAAAAATTAGACATTTATTAACTATATGTCAAGCACTATGCTCAGTTCTTTTTTCTCCTTTAGTCATAGTAACTCAATAAAACAGGTGTTATTACTATTGCTACACCCAATTTACAGAAAGGGTAATTAAGAAAATATGAATTCAGGCAGTTTGTCTATGCTCACTCAGCAAGTAAGCTTGGGATTAGAATTCAACTCAAATCTGACTCGAAATCATAATCTTAATCTTTATGCCATATTCCCTCCAAGCAGTGCAGAACATGTATTGAGTCTTAAAAGCCTAAAAGTACCAGAAAGACGGGGAGAAAGTAGAGAATCCCTTTAACTTTACATCATTGATGCAGAGGTATGTATTGAAAAGTATGATTAGGTTGCCACGGAGTAGCTGGAAGATGTAAGCCCTATCCAGCATAGTCCATGAAGACTGTGACTCATGTGTCAGCAGCCAGGCACAGTTCTGGATAAAATGGGTTATACAAGAGGGGCTGGGACAGTAAAAAAGGGAACAAGGAGATCCCCTCCTCTATCTCTGTAAAAAAGATAGGTTCTTAACATTTTTTGAATCTGAAAGAGGGACCTGGCCAGATGTATGAAATATCAATACATGGTTCCTGATCCACATTTACCTAGGAATACACATCAACCAGCATCACCACTGGGAGGGAGAATGTATTCAAAGTTAGTTTTTGGCTCACCAGGTCGACCTACAATGCCTCCATAAGAGCAAGAAAAACTGAAACAAAGGCAGGGTAGAAAGTCATGATTTCACGTGGCTTCTTTGGGAAATTCTCACCTTCCCAGATGCTTCCACATCCTGCAACACTTGGCAATCTAAAACCACTTCCTCCTCCATCATGTCTTCACTCCGTCATTGGCATTGAGGGTACAGATTTGTCAATGAACTATTTTGTGTTCTTTCCCTTGCAATCTGGCAATATTAGCTCTCTAATGAATTGCTTCAACTTGTATATTTTTTGGACAAATGTGACTTTTAGTTGAATTGTGCAACATCCATAAATAGCAAATCCTGGCTGATTAGAATCAATGAACGCCCTTAGAGTTGCCAGCAAAAAATGGGCCCTTAGCTGCATGTTACTTAATAATTTGAAAGGCATCTGATTATTTTTGGGAAAAAACCTTTTACATACACATTCTATGTCATCTGTTATGTATGTAGATATGTATTTGAATTTGAACGGATTCTTGCAAGCCAGCCATGTTACGAATATAAGTGCCAGATATACTTGGATTTGCAACTAAACACATTTGGGTTTGAATCCTACCCTCTGCCACTTACAAGCTATGTGAACTTGGGTACATTGTTTAATCTCTCTGTCTCTGCAGTTTCTCGTATGTAGAATAGATATAATAAATCCCTTGCAAGCTTGACTTAAAGAAAAAATGAGACCACACATACAATGTACTTGGCACAGTATCAAGGCATATTATGGCTTAATAATTAGTAACTACTATTATCATCATGATGTTCTATTAATAGAGGATTAGAGTAGACATATTTTGTGTCTCTACCAACACTTAATCTTCCCTTTCTGAAAACTGCCACAGCTATGGGCCTCCAAAGCCATATTTCTATTACATGACCCTGCTTTAGTGATAGGGCAAGAATAAGGATACCAAGGAAATGTGAGTTTAAGCAATTTTCCTATACTCACCCAGTCATTAGGTTTTTTACACAACTTGGCAGGTTCTCTTTCCTGAAAGTTTGGATTAGGAAAGGGTCCCTATTATTCCTCTAAACTAAGAAATTGTGAGGCGATCATGTTTGGCAACATGCATGCCAAGGCACTAAAAGTCAGTCTGCAGAATGTTGTTGATGTGCAGAGAGAAGCAGATTAACTTTGACTTGAACTCAAAACAATGCCTTGGTTCTGATAACTTTCCACTTCCATGAGAAACCATCTTCCTTCCTTCCTCTTCTTTCCTTCCTTCCTTCCTTCCTTCCTTCCTTCCTTCCTTCCTTCCTTCCTTCCTTCTCTTTCTTTCCTACTTTTTCTCTTTCTTTCCTTACTACTTTGGGTGGGTTTCCATAGTCTTCAACCAAAAGATCTTTGTTAACAGTGTCATCTCTGTGCATAAGGCCACCAGATCTTCTCAGCATGTCTTGGATGGCATTTGAAAGGTACCTGATTTAAACAAACAAACAAATCCCAAAAACTTCATACACATACACACACGTGCACACTTTTCTTATGTTATCCTTTTTCAACTCCTGAAAAGCATTAGGTATAAAATCAAAATAATCATATATGTAAGGAAATCATGTATGTATGGAAAAAAGGGAAGAACAAAAAGATAAAAGAAAAAGAGCCATCAACATTCCTGATTTTACAAAAATAGGTCATCTGATCATTTTCTAGAACCCAAGAAAGAATGGAGAGACCCCAGCTCTTTACCTGGTGTTGCACTGGATACTGTTGGCCACTGCTGATCAGGCCCTCCTGGACCAGCCCGTAGAATGCCAGCCTCCTCTAGGTGCACAGAGCTGAATAAACACACAGACCCAGATAACAGTTAGATCATAAATGCTTTCCCAGCTCTTCTTCCACCCTCAGAAATTGCTTACATCTATGAAGACAGGGCTGCAGCTAACACATTCTGCTCATGCTTGAACTGAAGCAATTATTGCTGAGCAGTCACCCTGCATAAACTGCAGAAGCATTGCTGACTTACTTACTGCCTGCTATACTATTCCAGGAATACACATGTTCTATCTTTATGGCAATTTTGTTTCTTATTAACGCCATGTAGTGCTCACTAAATCTAACAGGAAGCCCATCAGAGGACTAAGCCATTTTAACATCTCGATGCTGAAGCAGATGAGGAGGGCTTGTTCTCAAAAGCTCCAAGACTCTCCTGTAGGTTCTCTTGTTCTCGAGTTCTCTATTCTAAAGAAGAAAACACACTAAAATTATTTTCTGATAATTGGAGTATTGTTCCAATTTGGCTATCCAATTAATTCTTAACCTTATTTTCTATTTTACTCTTTCTATATCTTTTAGGCATAGATGACCCACCCTGTATTTCCTGAGACTAGAGAAACCTGATCACCACCACTCACAGATCTCAGTTCAGAAGAGACTAATTCAGCATAAAACATTGCTGGGAGTGAGACACAAAATGGGAGACATTTAGAGGCAAGCAGAGATAGAACATAAACTGTTCAAGAGAAAAGAGAACAAGGTGCAGTATTCATTTACGTATGTCTAATACTAACACATATTAATCTCTCAAATATTTGTTGGATGGATGAATGAATGAATGAATGATGGAAGGAAGAAATAAGTGGGATCCTAAGAGAAAATGTCCAAGAAAATCCTCATCAAAATTAGAGGACCCTTTAATTTAATTTAATTTAATTTAATTTAACTTAATTTAATTTAATTTTGAGACAAAGCCTCACTCTGTCACTCAGGCTGGAGTACAGTGGCGGGATCTCAGCTCACTGCAACCTTGGCCTCCCAGGTTCAAGCAATTCTCCTGCCTCAGCCCTCCAAGTAGCTGGGACTACAGGCACCCGCCACCATGCCTGGCTCATCTTTGTATTTTTAGTAGAGACGGGGTTTCACTATATTGACCAGTGATCATTTGTTTCTTCGTCCTTCCCATTTGGTTTCCAAAGACATTTGCAAATAATGAATCTTTTATTTGGCCCCATGGCATGGATACTAGATCACCTCCAGAAATAATGGTAGTTAATCAATTACTGTCAGAGAGACAAAGTAGAGAGAGCAAAATTATATTTAATCTGAGTCTTAGACTAATGCTGTTACTCTAGGTTAATTTAAAGTAAGCTAGGTTTGGTCTCCAGATATCCAATAAAAGCCCTTTACATGGCTCATCCTCTGAAGAACCCATGTCATTGATGACAATAAGATAGCAACAGATGGGAAAGATGAGGACACTCTAATAGGCATGAACATGAACAACAACAGTAATCAGTTATTGAGGGTAATAGGATGTAACAGTCAATGTGAGATTAAAAAAAAAAAACAAGGTAGACAACATGTATGTAAATACATTGTACAATGTACCCAATTCTCAAAGCATGAGTATTAATTATTGTTTTTAAAGGAGGAAAAGAAAGCATAGGTAGAGAGGGATGAAGGAGGTTGAAATTACTTCCCTGTAGAAATTTTGATGGGAGAAAATACACAGCGGCCTGTTTCTGTGATTTTACAGAGGACTCTATATTCCAGCACTTGATAAGCATTTGGCACTGACCATTTGCAATCTTTCAAGGAATAGACACAGGGACAAAAAAATTGCATTGTCCTGGCAAAGTACCTGAAGCTTTTTAGTTTTCACAGCTGCTTCTGGTCTATGGAGACACAGTTTATCTGAGCCATACCAAGTTAAGGTTACTTCTGAGTGAACGAGGAGGGAAATACATACCTGTGCATGCCTGCTCTCAGGGAAGCAGAGTAACGCCAGTCAGGGTTGGGCTGTCGTGGCTGCAAAATCACAAAGAGAGTTTTCTGTTAAAATGACAAGACAATGTTCTCCCGGGGATGCTGTTAAAATTAAATATTTCCGGGCATCTAAAAAAAGTACTGAATGAGCCATTTCACATGTAACTCTATGATAATATCTATATACATAGCACTTTAGAAGAAAATTAGTTCATCAGAGTCCTTACACAGATTAGATACCCTGGAAGACCAGATTTAATAATCTTGTAAAGGCCAGCTTTGGCTTTGCCTTGCCCAATACACATCTGTGTTCTTAAAACGCTACGGGAAGAACAGTCTGTTTTGAGAAAGGAAAAGCTTTCATTGCTTTTGCCCTCAAGTGCCCCATTCCCAATTCAGTATCACAGCTATAACAGGGCACATGGCTACACAAGTTCTGCTGGCCTGGCTGGACTGCAGAGGACTGCAATCTGCTGCTGGCTTTGCAGACTGCAGCATATTTGACCCAGGGCGGATGTGCCCAGTCATAACCCCAGCAACTGATAACAGCCTCTTTGCTGATTGAAGAGGGATAGCAGGGAGAGGAAAACAAACTACTGCAGAGTTTGACCTTGTTTTGCTACCTAATCCTTTTCATAAACTTGTACTTGTTCCTGCTCCTTCCTGAGTGCTTTCCCTCCTCACTGAATCACTGTTCACTAAGCTCTGATTGTTTAACAGGGAGTAGCTGAAATCCAAGAAAAACCTGCTATATTTTGCAACAGTTGTGTATTGGAAAGATCTGTTGCCCTCTCTCTACAAACTGTCAGTCTGAAGGGGGAGAACAAAGAGGAAAATATGGGCACCCAAAGACTTAAAGACTGTTGGGGGAGTTACGCGCTGGTTAGAAGCTACTCAGAAATCACTGAGACATCATCAGTCATCATCACTGTCTTGTATCAGTAAGCAAAAATGTCACTGTGAAAAACTTGTGACACTCCTCTAGATGTGTTTTCATGGGTGGAGATTAAGGTAGCCCTGTCACTGAATATTGAGGTATAGCTGAATGAAAAAATGGGGGATAAAAGTTGTATTTTGTATTTTCCTCTACATTATACTTACCATATTTGGTAGAAACAAAGCCATAGTAACATCAATAGACCATTCCAACCTACCAATAATTCTTATTCCTATCATTCATATAGTTCCTTCAAGGGATGCAAAGTATTTAATAAACACATTTCTTCATAACACCCAGGAGAGAAATGATCACCATCTCAATTTTCAGACAGATTTGTGAATGGCTACATGATATTTGGTATTCAGAGAATTAGCCAAAGTCAGGCCCAGAAAAAGTTACAACTCTGGGACAATTTACCTCAATGGTCCTCACACACTTACTGCTCTCTCTATTCTACCAATCTGCTAGCAAGATATGCATATGCAAGCTGCTTCCTCCTTTGTTTTTGAGTTCACAAAATGCTATGGATATTCCATATAACATAGCATAAAATTATCTACAGACCAAAGGAGTTTCCATTATCTACTAGCAGTGTTAGAGGGAACAAGAGAAAATGTTTGCAAATCATCTTATAAACCTGGAAATATGACTGAAATACTTTTTATCAATCAATCATCATCACCATCTCTCCCCTCGCCATCAGGAGCACTATCGTTAGCTTGTCAGCTGAGAGAACCTTTCTTCAAGAAAGACTGTAACATCTGCTGAGAAATGTTGCCAATTTTTCCATGATTGGGTAACATTCATGATGAAAATTGCTGCAACTTGATCTTTGGAATGAAATCATCAAACTCATTTTGCTGAAAGGCACAGTTCTAGCAGGACTGACCAGGAAACTCAGTTCATTATACAATCTCACTTCCCCAATGACACATTTAATTTGTCATGCTGCTATTTTCTATACTAGTCCATCAGCAACAATATCCTTCTCAGATTCATTTGCCAAAATCACAGTAAGATTTCTTATGGCAATAAGATCAGGCAGGGAAAAGGAAAGGAAGAAAGCATATAATATGTTTTAAGTAGCTACACAGAACTAGATTTTGCACTTTATTACATACTGTTGCATGTATCCTAATTCTTTCTTTGTCAGTAAACTCTATGAAAGGGATTATATCTGTTTTACTCATTAGACACATGCATATCTTCAGATATTCAAAAAAGCATAGCTATATAGTCAGAGTCTAGCAGGCTTCTGGCATTTTTAAATGTGTTTAAAATGGTTTTAAAAATGTGTTTAAATAAATGAACTATAATGCATAAGTCAACATTATTGTACTTAAATTGCAAAAATGAGACATCTGAACTTTAGAGAGATTAAATTACTTGCCTGATTGCTGAGTTCAGCTGACAGTCATGTTTAGGTCCCCTTAACACAAAAGTCTGTGTTTTACTTCATTTATTTATTTGTTCATTTATTTATTTATTTTTGAGACAGGGTCCTACTCTGCCATTTAGGCTGGTGTGCAGTGGTGCAATCTCGGCTGCCTGCAACCTCTGCCTCCAGGGTTCAAGCAATTCTTCTTCCTCAGTCTCCCTAGAAGCTGGGATTACAGGCACCTGCACCTACCACTGTACCTGGCTAAATTTTGAATTTTTAGTAGAGATGGGGTTTCACTATGTTGGCCAGGCTGGTCTTGAACACCTGACCTCAGGCAATCCACCCTCCTCGGCCTTCCAAAGTTCTGGGATTACAGGCTTGAGCCACTGTGCCCAGCCAAAAGTCTGTGTTTTAAATAAATTTACATGAAATTACATATATTTTTCTTCTTTCTCTTTTTTACTTCTGAGTTTTCAGGATATTGATTTAAAACAACACAAAACTAAAAGTAAAAAAAATGTACATGAGTTTCATCCAGAACTTGATTAAACTTGGAAAAATTCAAGTTGAAAGGTTGACTACTGATATATCTGACACAGTAAGACATATATTACTATCACAATTTCAATCATAGTTGAAATAACTGTGATTGTTTAGTTCTTTAATACTTAGATGGTACCTCCCAGGACTATGCTTACTTTCTATTGGTAAAGAATTCCAATATGTCCTATTGCTTCAAAGGTTAGTCTTTTGGTAGAATAATGGTCACAAAACTCCATATGTAGAAAAATTCAATTAGGTAGTCCACATGGGTGATGTAGTATTACTGAAGAATAAGAATATACTTCAGTTCCTATTAAAATTATAAAAAAAGATTTAATTTATCTTGTAATGATATTATTTGTGATTTATAACATAGGATATTTGAGCTACGGAAGGATGAATCACTTCTTCTAAGATTTAAAGTAAAATAAGTTTAAAATACCCTATTTTATTAATAAACTCACACAACTACTCCATGAAATAATATGCTATCTTCGTACCACGGAAATCCATGCGGAAGACATCAATAAATTGCCCTCTGGGACATAAGACTGCATATAATATCTCCTTTTCCTTCCTAACAGAACTCTACTAAGAATATATCCACTGCAGATTTTTCATAGTGCTATTTTGTGAACATTGATATAAACTGATAGGCAGAATTCCAAGATGGCCCCAAGATCCCTATATTCTGGTGTGCACACCCTGAATAATCTCCAAGACTGTGATTGTGATGGATCTTATTCCCATGATTACATTATGTTATGTAGCACAGTTGGCTTTAAGAAAGGCAGATCATCTGGATGGGACTGACATAATCACATGAGCTCTTTAAATCTGGGTCTAGAGGTCAGAGACAGAAATCAGAGAGATCTGAAGCATAAGAGGGATCCATGTGAGGGAAGATTCTCCAGTGCCAGCCCTAAAGATGGGGCAGACCACGGGACAGGAGTCCTGAGTCCTCAGTTCTCTAGGAACTGAGAGTGATCCCAGGCCAATAGTAAGTAGGAAAACAGAGATCTCAGTCCCCAAGCAACTGGATTCTGCAATCTGAATGAGCTCAATAGTGGATTCTTACTAAGAGCCTGCAAAAGAGAACACAGCCCAGCTGTGTTCATTTCGGCCTTGACAATACCTGAGCAGACAACTCAGCCACATGGTACAGGACTGTGACATAACAAATAGATGGTGTTTTAAAACAATTACTTGTGGTAATTTGTTACAAAGCACCAGAAAAGGGATACATAGACTGTTGCTCATTAAGGCAAAAGGGAATATAACATTCAAAATAATCATTATGTTGCATATTGGTCTTCTAGTATATAAAAATGAGGGCTGGGTACAATGGCTCACACCTGTTATCCCAGCACTTTGGGAAGCCAAGGCGGAGAGATCACTTGAGGTCAGGAGTTCGAGACCAGCCTGACCAACATGGTGAAACCCAAAAATACAAAATTAGCCAGGCATGATGGCGCATGCCTGTAATCTCAGCTACTTGGGAGGTTGAGGCAGGAGAATCGCTTGAACCCTGGAGGCAGAGGTTGCAGTGAGCCAAGATCATGCCATTGCACTCCAGCCTGGGCAACAAGAGCAAAACTCCATCTCAAGAAACTAAAATAAAATAAAACAAAAAGGTAATACATTTGAGAATTCTGGGTGGAATACTTTCCTCTGAATGTAGCCATTTAAAATCCTAATTTACAGGAGCAGGAAAGTAAAATAAACATAACTTTAGAACATACCTAATGGGTTCCAGTACAACAGAAAGTGCTAGGTCTGTTTAGTTCTGGATGCATAGCCTGCCAGCACAGCAGCTACTCTCTCACTCACAGTTGTATCTCCTCGGAGCCCAGAGTTCTGACACTGGAAGGCCAGAAAGGAACTGGTGGTGCTTATAAGACAAGGAACTAAGATTTCTCTTTACCTTTGCAGTGCTGGATATTCCTTTGCATTTGTCAAGTTAAAATTCTTGAAAGAAAAACCCTTGTATAATTTTCAGGTTAGCAGATTTAAAACAAAAGAATCCTTTTGACCTTTAATTTTTGAAGTCATGGTTATAGATTATACTGCTCCAAATATTATATGAATAAGCTAAATTTATAGTCATATTGTCATATGCACAAAACATTGATCCAGGTGAAGTTCTGTAAAAACCACATTTAAAGAAACCTGTAAAAC